TGACTTATTTCATGTTTCTACACTTTACACTTTGTTGCACACAAACATAAAGCTCTTTTTATCAAACGCTCCTCCTTTATCAATGCTGGTCTTATTCAAATGCAGAGCTTGTACTGTATCTGTGCCTGTGTGTGAAAAGCATGTCTTGTGGGGTCGCAGCAGCTACGCAAGCTTGTGTTTTGTGTGTGGGCTGCTTATCGTTTCTATCTGCTCAAGTTTCCTTTTTTGGCCTTTCCTGTCAACAGTTATTGTCTGATGTCACAGACGACACTCATTAGAGTTAGAGATAAAAAGATGATGAGAAAGGATGCACAGGGTGTGTGTGAGCATCAAACCTCTGAACTGATAAGGCAGGGTGATGTGAACTTAAAATATGACTCTGATCTGACAAGAATAATCAAACTGCTCATAGCAAAAAGAAAGAGAGAGTCTGTCTGCTCGTGTGTGTGTGTGTGTCTGTGTGTGTAACAGAGAAAGGCGTAGATATAAAAAGAGAAAAGGTGTTTGTAGGTCAGAGACCCTGAGAGTATTTCAAGAGCTCGTGTAGAGAAAATTTGCTCATCTCTGGTTCTTCTGTTGTTATCAGACAATCAGACAGGCTGACTGCATCCTTTAGCCTCAGGTGAACCTGAGAACCCATGAATGTGCGTAACTATCAGCGCAGATATTCAAGGGAACTGCGTTTGAGATCAGAGCACGGCGAGCTCACGAGGCAGCGTGGCCCACGCAGGAGAGGTGCTGCCTCTCTGGAAAAACAGCTGTCTATATTTAATCAAGGCGAATAAACAAGGAGTTTAAACAACTCATTTATAATTTAGATTTGCATACATTAACACTGCTCATTTTAATCTTTTTATTAATATGCATCAACGATATTGTATAAATATGCAGTTTTATGCAAATACCAGGCCCATTTTCTGTTTGTATTTAATTTTGTTTCCCAGCTGTGGATCATCATTTTCATTCAAGGCAACCGACTCAGATTAAGTCAAATATTAAGTCACAGCATGGGAGTGTATAAATATTTCTCAATTAAAAACTCTGAAGACCAGCTATGCTACTGTATCAGCATTAAAAATGCATTGGCATTGGGAGGAAAATAGGGGGAGGCAAGTTACGAGTTTGATAAGACATCAGAACTTTGAGTCTACATCTTTGAACTATGTTTTTTTTTTCCTTGTTTCCCTCCTCAAATCAAGTAGTTGCAATAGCTAGCACTTTTCGCTGTTACAAGATCTGGGGGATGTAAGGACCAGCCAAAAACATGCCGTGCCTCTGTTATTGATGAGCAAGCCGTGCCTTCTGATGTTTTTCACAGAATGTCCTAGATTTTGCTGCTTCTTGCCTGAGCTGCCACTTTTCTTTTGATGCAAATGAGGAGTTTTGTTCCAAAATGTGAAAACTACCAACTGAACAGTGTGACAGCAGCTGCTACAAAAGGGCTGCTGAGACAGTGCAAAGCTCACAATGCATAATTACCAAAGTTATTAACTAGCTTGATGATAACATCCCAGAAGTACGCTAATAACAATATACCAGCCACATCTTTGACATGTTGAACAATTGAGATATGTGTTACATTTATTGTGAGGTTTGAAATATGGTGGGTAAGGAAGGACAAAGCCGAATTGAATCCCTTGACAAGGTCCATATTTTATTTGAACCAATCACAAGGAAGAGAAGTTGCAACTGTCAGCAAAAGCAACAAGACAAAAATGCTTTAAGCTGCCAACTTTTTTTTCCAAATGTGCTTTTTATGTTTTGTGTGTTAATCAGCATCAGTTTTATGAGGTAAACAAAACGATGACTGCTGTAAGAACGGAGCCAGTTTTCAGCCCTTGAGTTTAATGCTGAAGACCAGACTGCTTTTTTTTAAGGAGAATAAGATAAATAGAGTTCAGCTCTTACTATCCTGTAGTTTTTATTGGCATGCTCCTTGTTGGTCTCTTGAGCAACATCGACATCTGTTTGCGGCTGCTGTTGCCTCTCTGCTCACTGTCTCTGTCGCTTCTCACAGTGTCATCTGTGCTGAGTGTTGCTGAAAGTTCTAAAAAAATATACGATAGGGCCAGATAGACACTTTAATTTTACGCGAACAGTCATCGGAGCAGCTATTGAATACACAACACATGCACAGTGACTTAACATGAAGTGTTTTGTACATGCAGACCTGATTTGACTGTTATTCACTGATCTCATTTAATTTACTTATAGACTTCTGTTTTCTTTGAAGCTACGATATAAAGATCCAAATCCATTTATCAGTGTTCATTTAATTTCTTTGTAAATACAAGGCTTGCATTATTTGTATATTTTACTCCATATTCAGGTCATGCTTAAAACATCTTTGTTTTTCTGCTTTCTTGTATTTTATTACTTCTTTAACTTACCGTGAAGTATGTTCCAAAGTTCTGTGTTATATTATATTTCTTATAAAAATATCTGTTGCTAGTTTATAGGTTACTATAAAAGCAGATTAACTAATGAAATGATTGTCATATTTTGTTTATGGCACATATTCTGTGACAGTGGCAGATGCTCACATAACATGGCCGAAGTTGCAGTGAACTACTTATACGTATACTCTTGATTTCCAGATCTGTTACGAAGCATCAACATTTGTATTATTTTATTGAAACTTTTAAGGATAGAATTTATAAGCAGTAACAATGACCTATGACCTATTACGATTTTTCCTTATTTTTGTTGCTGTTGGAATGATAGATGTTCATATTAAACATGGACAAATTTTAAATAATGACTGTATGGGCAAAAATTTCAGATTTCATGCAGCCCTAAATGCTCTGTTTCTGACTGATTTTTTATTCTTGGCTCTGTGTGATGTCATTAAAAGCAGATGTCCTTATATGGTTATTTCAAGTGCACAGCGCTAGCTATAAGAACCACAGCACCACCCACATGCCATTCAAATCTTCCCTTTATAAGGGGCTGCCAATAAGAAGAAAGCTACTTTCCTTTCTTGTTATTCTTTATTTTGATTTTTGGCATTGGATGAGTTGAGGGGCTTCACCATAGGTCAGTTTAAGACAATACGGTTTATTTTGAATTAAAATTATCTAAAGCTACTCCAAAAGAGTCCAAGAGCAAAAAGTAACCATACTAAAACCCACAGCTCTCGTTTATAAATAAATATGTAAATATAATCTAAGTACAATGTAAGCATATAAAGGAATATGTAAAAGCCTATGTAGATGGAAATTAATATTCTATGGCTCAGGTCAAGCCAAAAATCATTTCCTCAAGTTTGGATAATATTTTTTTAGCTCTCTCAAAGTGCATAAATTGGCTTTGAACCAGTAGGTTAAGAAAAGAAAACTGAGATTCTGTGTGAGCTTTATAGTAGCATTATATCTAAGCACTACATGAATGAGTTGGTGATTATGATTTAAATATCAAAAACAGGAATTCTAGAGTGAAATTTTTTTTAAGTAGTAAAAAAGACTTTAGATACAGCTACTTTAAAATATAAACAGTGCTGAAGAAAGTATTTGATTATTTTGCTACAATGAAAGTAACAGTATTAGACTATAAATGTACTCCATTAAAAGTAAAAGTCTTTCATTTTAAATGTTACTTACATAAAGTAGCATTACTGAAATGTATTCAAAGTATCAAAAGCATTAATTAAAAAGAAATTACTACAATACAATATAGCTTATATAACCGGATTATTGCTAATAATTGCTATGTAAATAAAGTTAATAAATATAATAGATAAATATATATATATATTTATATTATTACATATATTTTTATATTAAATAGTAAAAACCGTATCTACAGCTAAGTCTGATAAGTTGCATCAAGTGCAAAGCAGCAGTGTGTATTTTACTACACTGATTCAGTGTACGTAAATACACCGCACTGGCGGAATTCATGACGAAAAAGTTGCAGAAGCGCAACAAAACTGATCTCCCAGCTGAGCCTGAAGTTTAGGTGGCAGCCGCGGGATCGTGGAAGGTGCAAAGTCGCCCCTGGAAGTCATGAATAACGTCTGTTCGCCTGAGCTGGGAGAGGTGATGTCTCTTTAAGAAGCTCAGCCCTCTGCCGAAACAATTGTACAACCCCCCAACAAGTCATCGGGCCTGTCAATCATCCGGTCGGCGCCCTTTGATGTCGGACTCCTCGCCTTGTCTTGGGCTCAAATGAGCTGTTTGCTGCTGTAGGGAAACATTAGTCTTCTACCAACCAACCAGCCGGGGGACGCCACATCTCAACTTTTTTCTGTATGCGGTGGGGGTTTCTGTACTTCGGAGGCGCCCCAAACTGAGGAGATTTTAACAGAGAAGTCCCGCTGAATATTTTTCTTTCTACTTTTTTATTTTAATTTTTTGTCAGTATCATTTTTTAAACGTGTATAACATCGAAGAGGAGGGGGGAAGTAGACATGCCTCAGCTTAGCAGCGGCGGCGGGGACGACCTGGGAGCCAATGATGAGATGATATCGTTTAAGGACGAAGGAGAGCAAGAGGAGAAAATCCAAGAAAACGCGTTCACGGAGAGAGACCTGGCCGACCTCAAGTCCTCTCTGGTGAACGAGTCGGAAATAAATCAAAGTCCGAACGCAGCGGTAGGTGTCACGGAGTGTGACTGTGTGTGAAAGGCAGAGGGAGAAAGTGTGTGTGGAAAGCTTGTTTTATTTTACGCGCTGCTGAGAAGCTTTGAATGAAACCAACTCGCGCAGTCAACTTGCCTCCAGGGTTATAGTAGTTAAAAAAAGAAGAGGGGGTGGTGGTGGTGGTGGTGGTACGGGTCTACTACAGAACGAGAGCAAAACTGAATTGCGCTTATTAGCGCGATAAAGTCAATATAAAGTTACTCTTGTTTGGCAGGGGTTTGTGGCGTTTTCGTGACTTTTTCGGGTAATTCTCACTCGGTGTTTGTTTACGATCCCTTCCAGGCGGTCAGACGGGGACAGCAGGGCGAGCAGAGGGGCTTCCCAGACAAACACCGGGAGCATCTCGACGTTGGTAAGCAGAAAATACAAATAAAAAAACTTGGGAAAACAAACAAACAAACCAAAAAAAAAACATGAACATACTCACTCTCATCCCTATGAGCAGTCAAGTACTGTGTAAGAAAGCGGTAAAAACCACCCACTGTGTCAAAGCAAGGAGTTATTTTGGTCACGGGCGCACGTGCTGCTGCATTAAAACTTCAAAGAAGCACCGCTCAGGTGTACACTGCAAAACAAAACAAAAAAAAAAAGATGGCCATCCTGTCTTCAGCTCTTTAGTTTATCTCTAAGATCTATAGCTTGCTGGGGAGATTTCCTCTGCTGCTCAGTCAAATTAGCAGAGCTCAGCAGAGATGCAAGCAGACTAGCTATCTTTAAAAAAGTGGAACCCTCTTGGCCTTAAATTGTCATTAAGCTTAGGTAAAGGCACTGGTGTGAAGGGCAAAGCAACTTCTCAGTAGCTGTAAAAATTGCTAGTGCCTTTCATTTTAATTCACTATGTTTTAAGCTTACTTATCTAGCGATCTTTTATAAGATTTTGCCAAAAAACCAAGGTCAGCCTTCCTTTTTCTTCAAACCTACCACCCAAAAAGATAGAGGAAAAAAAAAAAAGCAAATTCCCCTAACTACGCCAGAGCGCATTTAGACAACATATACAAAACAGCTTTAATTATAGGTATCACTGTTGTGTGTACTCATCTCTGAAAGGAAGAATGCTCTCACCTTGTGATCCTTTGATCAAAAAAAGAAAAAAATCCTCATCAAATGTGGATTTGCGGTTTTTAAAAACTGGTCTATTTGATGGTCCTCGAGAAAAAGTGAAACCCGCAGAAATCAGAAAAAACAGTTCCGCCCTGAGGGATGCTGATTGCCCTCAGATTCTGTCACTCAGGTTCTGGCCACGTTAAAAGTTTTGTCACCTTCGCAAGAAAGCTCAGCACTCACGAGGGAAACCAGTTGTGTTTTGTGTGTGTGTATGTGTGTGTGTGTTTCTATGCAGGTATAACCTAGTCGTATCTGACCTCCACATAGGCCTCTCGTGCTTAATATGGGTGGTGGTAAGAAATAAATTAACACATAGGCTACAGAAGTTCACGCCTCTAAGACTATGTGGTGGTTGTAACGCTTTTGTCTCCAGTATTGTTGCCTCTGCTCATTCACGGATGTAAAGTGTAGTAACTAGAATGCCTGTAAATAGCTGAGCTGCTTTATATGCACGTTTACCTTCTTTTTCTTTTGACGTTAACACCTTAGCAGCATTGTGTGAGTAAGTATCAGGTTTGATTTTTATTTTAATCCTCACATCCAGCATTTGCACCCACAGCTTTACCTTTATTGTTGTTTATTTTTTTCTTTTCCCCCGAGCTGTCATGATTTTTATTGTAAATTAAATACATTATTAAATGATAACTATTGAGATTTAGACAGCAAATCAAAAGAGTTTGGAAAAATTAGGCAACAAAGGTGACAGCTTCTAATTGTTTGCTTTTCCTGTCAGTGTCGAAGCAGCAAGATGGAGGTATGTACAAGTCGCCGGGATATCCAGGGTACCCGTTCCTGATGCTGCCAGACCCCTACCTCCCCAACAGCTCCGTTTCTCCATCTGTAAGTCCACTTCTCATTGAATCCTTCTGCTGGCTATGGTTCTCCTCTTAGCACCTGATGATATTCTGTGCTCCTGAGGACTCCTTAAGGTGCAAGTTTTTGCGCCTCAGCTTGTCTTTGTATTATTTAGTATCAAGTCCAGACTGTGAACACACAGTGCTGAGCCCCAGAAGAGAAATCCAGTGTTTTGTAGTCGGGGAGAATAAAAGGAACGCACACTCGTAGATGGAGATCTCAAGCCTGGTGTCCTCTGAGGGATTTTATTTTTTAATTTTTAATTTTTTTGGGCTGGTGCAAAGACGTCCTCAGTAGTCTCAGTTCGAGAGAAAAGAGATGCAAAGCGGTGGAGAATTTACTCGACTTTTTGTGCATAAAAGCATAAAACATTTCTTCTTGGTATTTTCTGTTTCATAATTCATAATTTCTATTTTTTATGTGCATGCAGTTTTGAGAATTAGAAAAGTTCCCCTCACATCAGCCTAAATTTCAGTGATGTTTTCCCCTTTTAGATGCAATTAGCATATTGTGGCTCAGCTATAACCCCCTAAAACATTATACAGAATTTTAATGCTGCGTCTCTTATTTAGAGGGGTTTAAACTACCAGCTTTATATATTTTTTGGAGAGGGGGGGTCTCTTTCACATTACAAAGCAGAATCAGTCAGCTTATGTTGCACTAGGTTTTAGATTCAGAAGAGACAACATGAGTCTCTGTCAGACTGAAGATGAATGGCACATCACTGCAGATCTCTCTCAAACTTTACACATGCTCTGATTTGGCTTTGAACTGTGCTGCTAACTCCCCCCACACCCCATCCCCAAGGCTCACACCATCCCTAACTGCCTTATAAAATAAAGCTGCATTTAAAACACAGCGGAATAAAATCAAAGTGCCGCAGCCTCATGAGGCAAAGCAAGAAAAAAAAAAAAAAAACAGGAAAAAAAAAGCTTGTTTTTGTTTACGCCGTTGCTGAAGTTGGAATTTGATTGATGTCGTCATCGCGAACCATTTCACGTGACGTTTTCCCGTCTGTTTGTACCCCGGGTGAATGACAAGAGGTTTATTGCACAGCCTTAATAGCAGTTCTAAGTGTTAAAACCGCTAAAACAAACATCAGAACAACTCGTGGAAAGATTTCAAGTATGCAGTATTGCTCACCCAGCCAGACAGCCCTTAAAGAATTCATCATAAAAAAAAAATCCCTTCGAGTCACCCGTTAAGAACCAATATCCATGGATAGGCTGAGTAATTGCGCCGAACGTGAACGGTTGTGCCTAATTCATTTTTCACGTGCTGCGTAATCCTGTTGCCTGAATTAACCCCCTGCTCTAGCAGACAAGACGTTGCTAAACAGCATAGATGCCTGTTTGTGAGATGACATGTGCTGTAGGCTGATTTCACGTGAGAGCATAGTGAATAAGGAATATGCGGATTTATGGCTGGAAAATGTGATTTTCTAATGGCACCTTGGAGCTTCTTAAGAGTGTTTCAAGACGCCGTCAGTGTCCAGGTCAGGGCCCGTTGGCTGGTCATGGGAGACTTTAATAGGGTCTGTGATTTTTCAGAATAAAAGCGGACAGTTACCTTCATTTTCCATGGTTTTTTAAATGAAACTAAAATTTAAAATTGTAGTCTGTGGGGAAAATACATAGTAGGAGAGTGGCTTCTTTTCTCCGCCACAGCTATAAAGAAAAACATATAATGGATCTAAATGCATCTGTAAAGTAAAGACGGGTTATACTGTTCATACATGTGATTTGGCTACACAGTGCCTTTTCACTTTAGTTTTATATATGCTCCTTTCAGGCTTGCTAGAAAAAAAATACAGGGTGAAAACTTTTGTTTTACTGTTTATTTCTTTTTATGTTCTTGTATAGAATACATCCTTGACCTGCTAGCTCCATTTAATTGTGCTGTTTTGCACATAAAGCAAAGCCTTTGCTTGGAAGAGAAGCACTTGTAGGTACAGCAGCGTCTCCTTGGAAATCACATTTCATTTTCAGAGTCTTTATTCAGTAACCAGTTACATTCTGAGAATACGACTGAATGAACTACGAGTCTTAGTGAGCATGCTTGTTGTTTCCTCAAACGTCTTTATACTCGAAGCTGCATAACACGGCACATCCGGCATCGTGACAAACATTGTGAAGAAGTGGAGACAAACGTGGTGTCTTCCACCTTCTTCTCTTCTCTTCTCTTCTCTTCTCTTCTCTTCTCTTCTCTTCTCTTCTCTTCTCTTCTCCAACCACAGAAGCCTCTCATAGATTATTCTCATTGGGGGTGGGATTGGCGAGTTGGTGAGTGATGAGGAGGGGGGGGGGGGGGGGGGGGGGGGTAAAGGGGAGGTGGTGGCGGTGTGTTGATGGCAGATTAAGAGCGTTTCTTCGCCCGTGTGTGTCTTGCCACACAATGCTCACTTGTTGCTGCTTCCCTTGTAATTAGCCCGCTGGTTGTGAGGCGGTAGCGGGGTATCAGGCCCTGTCTAACCTGCCACTTGAAAGGGGCTGAGAGTAGTGGTTTAGCGGGTGAGGGGGGGGGGGGGTGATGATTATGGATGGCAGAGCTGGATCAGAAGTTCAAGGTCAGGGTGACTGACAGAAAAAAGAGCTGTTTGTGGTTTTCCCGTTATTGTGATGTTGACATGGGACATTTCTGTGTGCGTGTGTCCATGTCTCACTGCTGGCCTGTCTTGTCCTGGAGCTATGACTTACGCTTCTAGTGTCTCATGTCGCACATGCACTGGAGCCTGGATTATTTTTAGATCTTTTTTTGCGGGCGAAAAAATGTCAGATCCAGTCAGAATGGACATTAAATGGTCTTCAGCCTGCCAGTCCCGTAGTGCAAAGTCTGTCCGATTGTGCCAGGTTGCACGAGTGTTAAGAGCGGTGCAGGTGAATTCATCGCTATTAAGTGGTCGCCTCATGTCTTGCCCATGCACGCGCTACTCTGGCAGCACAAGAGTTTGATTTTTCAGACTTTTTTTCTGTAGAATATGTGTGTACACAGCTTTATCGTTGGTGTTTGTTGCATTTTCACTCATCAAGTAGTCTTTAAAAGGTGAGATGATTGCGACTTCTTGATTTTGTGTGTACCCGATGAGAGGGTAGCTTATGCTCACATTCGGTGGAGGCAGATTTATGCTCACTGCTGCCGGGACCCTGCTATCAAACCTGTTTGGTTATAAAAAATGTAAAGCTTAAATCATCCGTCTGTCTTAATTCAGATAGTTTATCAACAACAAGAAGTCACGACTGCCTTACATCCACTTATGTTTAGTTTCGTGGATTAACCTACGTGCAGTTACTTTGAGTCAAAATAATGAATTGGTTAATCATCAATTACTAATCAACATAAAATGAATCCGGAGCCAATGAATTAATTCATTGATCAAGTACACATGTATTAATCGAAGCAGTTTTGATCAGGTTTCTGCTTTTGTTACACTACACTGTCAGATCGTTCACAAACCGCTTTTCTCCTGAGTTTATTTGTTTATCTTCAGTTACGTACCAATTCTTTATTCAGTCTGTGTATTTCTCATTTTTTATCCCAGAAGAAAGCCAAACCAAATATCATTGCACTGTGTGTAATGACAATAAAGATGATTCAATCGTCAGAACACTTAATACATTTAAAACATGCTTTTCTCATGTTTTAAATGTATTAAGAAACCTATTAAGAGAAAAGAAAGTGTAGTGTAGCTTCATCTGTGTTATTTGAAGTCAAACCCTTTGATATACTTTCTTTTCTTTTTTTAAACGTGAATTTATTTAACAGGCTGTGGTGTAAAAATTTCTGCAGCGTTGCCCACATGTCACCAGCTCACCTGAAGAAACTACAACACCTTTGTGCGTTCCCGTAAACTGCTTTGAACTGTTGCAGTCATTGTGAGAACCTCAGCTGAATGACTGAAAGTCAGAAATTAATTGTAAAATCAGTCTGCTTGTGTCTGTGTGGGTTTATCCTCACTTGTAAAGGTCTAGCCAGCTTTTTGCACTTTTTAATCGCCAACTGATGAAAAAACATTTGAATGAAAACCTGCGCAGCCCCTGACCGTCGGAGTGGGCTGACTTACATTTCATATAGGAGGGGGAACGAAATTGCCTGAGCTGTTGTTGTGAAAGATTAACGCATTGTTTTCCTAATACAGCTGAATCAAAATGGCAGAAATGGACGCAAACAGACTGATAATCACTCCTTGTTATTTTGGTATTAACATTTAAAATTTTAGATTTAAAGAGAAAAGAAGAAGCCTCTAATCTCTGCTGAGAAGTGGGTTTTGCAAAGCGACTACACGGGTATTGGCTCCTTATCCCATTCAGCGATAATACTCCTATTACAGCATTTCATGGGACATTTCACTGTTGTTGCATTAATGGAGATATCAGCCGTCCTTTCAGGGGAAGTGGCCAGAGAAGGAGATTTGTGGGATTCGGAGATATGACTAAACTCCCTCAGCTTGTTGTCTTTGGATAAAGCTTTATCTCGAGTGTGTTTGTCAGCGCGCGTGCGTGTTTGCTGTTTAAGTTCATTACACTAAGTAATCTGTATGTATCAAAGCTTTTGGCATGTTCTGTGTGTGTGCGTGTGTGTTTTCTAGTTTGTTGCCTTAGGCTTGTGTTTGTACCCAGGGTTCATGGTGTGTTTTGTGTGATGATGCTGGCCGTATACTGTGGATGCAGCGTGTGTGTGTCAGCTCTCTTCTTGCTGTGTGTATAATGCTGTGAATTACCAGCAGACACTCTCTCTCTCTCTTTTTTTATTATTATTTTTGAAGGGATCATGAGTCTTTGTCGTCTCAGGCAGTTAAACCCTGTCGCAGGGGAGACCTTCAGTAGATATAAGAGTGTTTTTCTGTCTTCAGCTTCCATCCATCTTCCTCCTCACTCCCTTTGCACGCTTGCCATTTCCACATATCCATCTCTTTTATCGTCTTGTGCTGTCTTCAGCATCTGAGTTGGTTCCAAGCATCTCTCCTCACTTCATTTTCCTACTCGGAG